GGCAGCAGGTGGGCAAGTCCCGGCGCCAATGAGCAGGCGCTGGACTCCCCTAGCAACAGTGCCCGCGCCAATGGGCGCCGGGAGCTGCCTGCAGCCCTGCCGGAGACGGGTTTTCCCAGGCAACCCTTCCCTGCTGCCCTGGCCCCGGTCCGGCGTGGGTTGAGGGGCAGGGAGCAGCACTCGCTGCCCTCCCTCTGCTCTGCTGGTGTGCCGAGGTGTGCCATTCCATGCCGTGCTGCACCATACCCCGCCCACACCAGCCAGCCGGCCATGTGATGCCCTGTCCTGGCCTACTGGACACAGCCAGCTGGCAGAACCCCACTTTCACACCACACCAGCATCACCCATCTCCAGGGCAGCTGGGGCTGGCGCGTCACTCTGTGGTTAAAGTCCAATCCTGCTTAGCGGCCCCCCAGGAGCTCGGGCAGGGGCCCAGAGCTCAGCTGCCTGCTCCCTGCCCACCTGCTTCCCTAGGATTAGGCACTGTGCTTCAGGAGGATTTGGCCTGGCTGGTGTGTCCTTCAACAGTCAGAGGGAGGGAGGAGGCCAGTGGTGGGAATAGAAGTGGCGGTGGAAAGAGAAGTGTCGGTGGAGCTTGGCCTGGGTGACAGTGAGGTGCTGGGCAGTAGGGAGTCATGACTGATGCCTCAGACCTCTTCCCTGATTTTGTGAGCTGTCCTGAGCCAGCTGTTTTAATGTGGCACTTGCAAGGACTGCCTCTAGCTCAAACAATGACAATAAATCCATCCTAAATCAACTGAGCCTGGAAAGGGACCAGCGGAGCAAAGGGATGCTGGAAGTGGCTCCAGGTGGGAGCAGGCAGACAGCCACTGTAATTAGGTTTAAACTGGAGCTGGATCAGTCTTTACAGGGGATTATGACCCCTCTGTCTGCGTAGGCGCCGCGGGGGGCCCAGTGACTGCCTGCTTGGTGTCCTGGCACAGCCGTGGCATTGTGGGGGAGCCCATGGGTTAGGGGCAGCACCAAGCCAGGGCTGGTACCCCTCTGGCCCTGTGGGTCGACGTGGGAGCACTGGATCCAGTGTGGGGGCCTGCTTTGTTTTTACAAGGACTCTAGGATGCTGGAGTGGGGATGAAAAATAGCCAGAAATATGATTAGAGGATTGGAGAAAATGCCTTGGAGTACAAGCTTTAAGAGCTCAATCTGTTTAGCCTATAAAAATAGAAGACTGAGGGGTGACTTAATTACCAAGCGTAATTACTTCACAGGCAGAAAATACTAGGTAGTGGAAGTCTCCCTGTAATTGAGCAGGGAAAGGGCACCAGGGAGCCAGGGGCAGGAAATTGAAGCTGCAGACAAATTATAAAGAGCCGTGTCCTGGCAGCAAAGCTCCCCGAGGGTGTGGGCTCCCTCGGATGGTGCATCCCAGCAGCCACCCATTGGGTGACATATGTATCCCCACAGAGGCTGTTCCCCCATTACTTTCCTTCCCACCCTAGTAGCGAGGGGCTGGAGCAGGTTTTCTGGTGGCTGGGTGCTGAATGGTAGGCATCGCCATCGTGCATATGTCAGCAGTGCCTCTATTCCTCTTCTCTCTCTCTCTCACCAGCTGGGGCGGGTGCCAAGGTGCAGTTTTGCTGGTGAGCCATGGGGCAGGAGTGGAGATTTTGATGCCTCTACCGGGAGTCCTCAGAGCCATGACTGCAACTGTGCAGACGCTGCGGTTCAAGCTGCTGCCGCATGAGCCAGGCCAGGAGTGGGGGCATAGCTGCCAGCAGGAAATTGAGCGTCGCTACCAGGTGGTGCCCTCCGTGGTGTGTGCCATGTGCTGCCTCTTCGGCATCATCTACTGCTTCTTCGGTGAGCTGGGCCAGCCTCGCGGCTGGTGGGGCAAGCGGGGAGCAGGGCAGGGGAAGCTGGAGAGGATGCTGGCTATCCGCCCCCTGACTGCAGTGGTCTCTCCACAGGCTACCGCTGCTTCAAGGCTGTCATGTTTCTGACGGGGCTGATGTTTGGCTCCATCATCATCTTCATGCTGTGCTACAAGGAGCGGGTGCTGGACACACAGCTGAGCGTGGAAGCCTCGGTGGGCATTGGGCTGGGCATCGGGGTCCTGTGCGGGCTGGTCACCATGCTGGTGCGCAGCGTCGGCCTCTTCATGGTGGGGCTGCTCCTGGGGCTGCTCTGGTAGTGATGGAGCAGTTCTACCACCCACCGACAGTGTGGATCCCCATCGCACTGCTCCTGGGTGTGGGGATGCTCTTTGCTGTCCTCACTCTGCAGTGGCAACGCTTCTTCACCACCCTTTCCACCGCCGTCTTCGGCAGTGCCATCATGACTGTCACTGTTGACTACTTCATCGAGCTCTTCCTCCTGGTGCAGTACATCTACGAGCGCATCAAGGTGGCCCCTGCTCGCCCCGTGTGCTGGTACAGCTGGGTCATCCTGAGTATCTGGCCGGTCCTCACCACGCTGGGCGTCCTGGTCCAGTGGAAGGTCACAGCTGAGGGCTATTCCCACAC